TTCTTGTTGTTGTGTGTGTGTGTGTGTGTGTGTGTGTGTGTGTGTGTGTGTGTGTGTGTGTTTAGGTGCTCCATATGGAGTTGGGTTAGAAGATGGAATGAACACTTGACCATCACACCCATTTTGAGTTGTAGTTGGCCATTTGCAAGAGCAAGGGAGTTCATTTTTTTCCCGACTACCTGGAGGCATTTTTTTTAATCCTTCTCCTGGATGGGTCCAGTCATTGGTGCCTCTTGATCTATCCTGCTCACTTGGTAGGTTGGTAGTTGCATGTCAATTATGTTTGTTTTGTCAATTTTTTTAGTGTGCTTTGTGCTCCGTTAATTGCTGTTTGAGATCAGGCAGGATTCCCACCACCATCCCAAAGTGAATTTTACATTGTGCTTTGGTTGGTTTTTGCCCTCCAATCAGCCACCAAGATGACTGGCTTGTTGTTATGCTTTAATTGTTGCTTTTGCATTGTCCAGTAGAGACTGTCATGTTAACAAAGCCAATTTTGGAGTTCGTAAACCTTTGTGGAGATTGCAAAGCATTTGGCCTGGGCAGACTGGGAGTCTAGAATCCATTTTATCCCAAGATACTAAATTCCTCCACACCTTTTCATTCTTAGTATTCGCACGATGAAAGAATTCTGGGAGATTTTAGCAGTTGGGGCCATGTCTCTACATTTTGAATGAGGGAACCAGAGTTTGCTTCTCCTTACATATTTAAGTTCTGTCCTATTAGCCAGTTTCAGAACTGAACTGGGCTAATGTTTGACAACTATGTTAGGAAGGTACCATTTAAACTCCTCTTTGGTTTATTTAGTTAAAAGTAGGGCTGTCGATTTAATCTCAGTTAACTCATGCGATTAATTTAAAAATATTAATCGCAATTAATAAAATTAATCATGATTAATCACACTGTTAAACAATAGAATGTTTTTCTACATTTTAAAATATATCTATTTCAATTACAACACAGAATACAAAGTGTACAGTGCTCACTTTATATTATTTTTGATTACAAATGTTTGTACTGTAAAAATGATAAACAAAAGAAATAGTATTTTTCAATTCACCTCATACAAGTACTGTCCGTAGTGCAATCTCTTTATCATGAAAGTGCAACTTACAAATGTAGTTTTTTGTTACATAATTGAATTCAAAAGAAAAACAATGTTAAACTTTAGAGCCTACAAGTCCACTCAGTCCTACTTCTGGTTCAGCCAATCACTAAGAGAAACAAGTTTGTTTACATTTATGGGAGATAATGCTGCCCACTTCTTAATTACAGTGTCATCTGAAAATGGGAACAGGCATTTGCATAGCACTGTTTTAACTGGTGTGGCAAGATACTTACGTGTCAGATGCAATAAAGATTCATATGCCTCTTCATGCTTTGGCCATCATTCCAGAGAACATGCTTCCATACTGATGACGCTTGTTAAAAAAATAATGCGTTAATTAAATTTGTGATTGAACTCCTTGGGGGAGAATTGTACATCCCCTGCCCTGTTTTACCTGCATTCTCCCATATATTTCATGTTATAGCAGTCTTGGAGGATGACCCGGCACATGTTGTTTGTTTTAAGAACACTTTCACTGCAAATTTCACAAAATTCAAAGAAGATACCAATTGAAATTTCTAAAGATCGCTACAGCACTCAACCGAAGGTTTAAGAATCTGAAGTGCCTTCCAAAATCTGAGAGGGATGAGGTGTGGAGCATGCTTTCAGAAGTCTTAAAAGAGCAACACTTTGATGCAGAAACTACAGAACCCAAACCACCAAAAAAGAAAATCAACCTTCTGCTGGTGGCATCTGACTCATGATGATGAAAATGAACGTGTGTTGGCCAGCACTGCTTTGGATCGTTATGAAGCAGAACCCATCACCAGCATGGACGCATGTCCTCTGGAATGGTGGTTGAAGCGTGAGGGGAGATGTGAATCTTTAGCGCTTATGGCACATAAATATCTTGCGATGCCGGTTACAACAGTGCCATGCAAATGCCTGTTCTCACTTTCAGGTGACATTGTAAAGAAGCAGGCAGCATTATCTTCTGCAAATGTAAACAAATTTGTTTGTCTGAGCGATTGGCTGGGCAAGAAGTATGATTGATTGGACTTGCAGGCGCTAAAGTTTTTTACATTTGTTTTATTTTTGAATGCAGTTATTTTTTTGTACATAACTCTACATTTGTAAGTTCAACTTTCATAATAATGACATTGCACTACAGTACTTGTATTAGGTGAATTGAAAAATACTAT